TCCATTCATCCATTCATCCATTCATCCATTCATCCATTCATCCATTCATCCATTCATCCATACATCCATTAATTATTGAATGTCTGTCCAGGCAGTTATGAATATAAATCTTGCCGATTCTGTGACTGCATACTTTCTATTATTTACTTATCCCCTGCCAGATCCATGCCGACTTTTATTATTATGAATCCGCCCTTCATTGCCAATCGGGGCTAAATATCTCTTTGCATTCGAGTCAATTGGGGAAATGTATTTGCAGGTCAGTATCCAAGACGACTTGCTCCAGCTCGTGTTTAGCCCTCCCCCGACCGACCGTTCGGTGTAGACAGGCCGTGCAGTCGTTAATTAGTGTCTCGGCGTCTCCGAGGCTAGAGCGCTCTTAGGCTTCAGCGACTGGAAGCAGAGCTCGAAATGCACTTCTTCCCCCCCCGCCCACCGCTCACCGCCCACCCCACACACCACATATGCCTCCCTCCTTCGGCATGAAATATATTGCAGCGTGCAATCGTAAAGGTGACTTATTATGATCGCAGAGGGTACGCCAACTTTGTCATCCGGTCGGAGTGACCGACTATTGCAATCCTTCTGGCAGGCAGCTGTTGAAGACAAGATGAAATTGGAAACTGTGCTGAAAGTGAAATGGTGTAGAGGGGTGGGGGATCCGGCAGGATGGACATGTAGGAGTATGAGTTGCACATCCCTCCGACTAGCGACCTCCTCCACTTGCCCCACTCGGCCATCATCCACGTCTGTCGCTTTGCCTCGGTGTCCACCTCACTTTGATTGGCCGGCCCCGTCGGCACAATTCCCCCCCTCCCTCAGGTAGCCCGTCCACCCTCACTCCGGCCCAGCTTCAGCATCGATGGGTAGTGGAGGCTGGCGAAAAGCCTGGCTGAAGAGTACCGTCAACGGATTGGGATCCGACACAATTCGGCGACAATTATGAACACAACAGGACGATTGTCTCTCGTTGCACTGCTCCTGTTGACACAGTCGACGAGACATTCACCCTCAGTTCAGGTGAAATGAGCTCATCCGTCGTTTTTCATACCATTTCACGCACAAACATTAGTGTGTGTCTGTATGTGGTCGCATATGCACACATATATGTATAGTTACAATTCTGTCTAGGTCGTTGTTGTGAGCAGGTTTATGGTAGTCTCGAAAAATGCCCACATCCAAACTAAGTAACAATGTCGATTATGATGGCAAACACAAGTCGACAATCCCACTATAAAGTGTGATTTGGGCAAGGCATGACATGCCTTTTATGTGACCTCCGCTCTGACTTTTGTAGCTGTAGATGGGTTGGCTACGTTGCCAAGATTACAAACCGATCAGGGTTCGAATTCATTTGGGGCCGCTGGTAAAACGGTGAGTCCAGTCGAACCGGTACGAGACTACCTTTCGAGAGGAAGGAGTAGGAAAAATTGTATGACATTCTTGGGTCTGCTTGCCACATTGTGTGGAAAAACTGAACTATCAATCTTTAAATGATCGTCAGAGGCCAAGATTAACCTAGTTCTTATTAAATAATTACGAATAGTCTCGAAAGCTGGGAATAGATGATGTAATAACTCCAAGTTATGATTCCCAGATTCATACCCCGTAATACACAAGTTATACATACCAGTGCTTTGATTGTTTTTCAGGAGAAAATTATCTGATAATTATATATTTATATACCGGTCCAATCCCAGCATAACAAATACTGTAATAACAAAATTTCCAGACTAACGAACAATTTTATTGCTTATTGTAACATAATTGTTTTTTTCTTTATACGTTATAACGAAATAATTCATGCGGTCTTAAAATTTCTGTTATAACACGATTTAATCTGCATATATATACATATATGCATGTATAAAGACATCACTGCAGCTAAGTCTCATTTCTAACGAAACTTCAAGCTAAACTAAGCCATGAAGACCAACCAAATTTTTTTTTACATACTAGGTCTACTTATTTTATACTTACACACATATAAATATGTATATATCGGGTGATTTTTTGCTGAATAACAAATGTATACCTGTGTATTTCTGGGTGAGAATCTCTCAGTCATAGCATCAGATAGTTACAACAGTATTTACCGTCAGTTCAACTCGTGATTTTCGATATTATCAGTAATGTTTGATTAAGAACTAAGCCATGATTACACTTGACTAAACCCACTTGTAGTGACACCCTCATAGGCGGCATTGGAGGAAATGAGAGCCCAGAATCATGTGGTTATGGAAATGGGCGATAGAAAGTGGGGTTACTAGAAAGACTTGCAGTACTAGAAGGTAGAAATAAAATAGGGGCGAAGATTGATGCCATAATAGTTGAACGGAGCATTGTTTTCACTTCCCGGCGAAACATTTGGGAAGGTTGCAAGTCCATGGTCCTATGCTGGAAATCACAAATATCATGGCAGAGGACCCAAGAGTTGGTACATTCCACAAGGACTCTCTGACGCTCCGACTAAGTTGCAAAAATGAGCTCGAACCAACACCAATAGTTAAACCAGTTTGGGGCATTTAAGGTATAAAACCAAAATGGTATGGATTTTAGTATGGTCGCGGTCGCCTTTAGTTGCATAGAATGTGCTTGACCTTATTTTAGCAACTTGGTCGTACCAAACCTGCTTATCAAACAATTGGTCAAGAGACCGATTTTACTTGTTTATCTGACGAGTCGTAGTTTGGTGGTAAGAATAGCAAGGTTCAGTGACGATACCGACTACGATACCAGCGAAATGTCTGGGACTTTACTAAGTCCACATTCCCACTTTGGAAATTATCATGGATACTATGGACTACAGGCAAGATGCGTTCTTCTAGGTCTTCCTGACAATATGACCAAGTTGCTAAAACAAAGTCAGACAACTTCTTGAAAAAGTAAAAGATGAGTTTTCTTACACAATGAGACCAGCAGGCCTCAGGATGTCATTCAGTTTCACGTAGCTTTGTCTCTTAAAGGGCAATCGCTCTCGGACTCGACTGTAGTTGGTTCGTCTTCTGACATTTTTTTAGAAATGGCATCCAGCTCTAATGGCTGCCGTAAAAACTTTTGGGAATATACCAAGTACACGGTCAAACGTTGTGAATTATGATACCTTCTTTAGCAAATAACTTCGGACA